AAATTTATTAAATGTCTTATTCCTTTCAAGCCTCTTGATGCTAAAAATAAAATAAAACACCAAAAAAACCCCACACAAACAAAAAACCCCAAGAAAGCACACATCAACATCACCCCCAGCAAAGCCAAAACAAAAACACTGGGTTAAATTTGGAAGCATGAAAATTCAAAGTTATTTCTGACAGGAAAAAAGTTTTCCTGAGATCTCTAAATCCAAAGGACTCCTCTGAAAGTGGAAAGAAATCAGCAAACCACAGTATGAAAACATTTAAGATTAAAAGCTGCAATGGAATAGACATGAGGAAGAATAAATCCAATCTTAATGACTTCAGAAAAGTAAAGAAGTTATTTTAGGGAGTGATACCTATACCATCTGTGCTGGTAAACAGCACTCTGAGAAAAAAACAGTTAAATTCCCCAAATCCATTCTCAAATCACCTTCAGGTAAAACATGTCAGAAATAGAGGTCTTTGTTATTGGAAAACTGGAGAAAAGAAAAAAAAAAACCTAAACAAAAAAACCCACCAAAAAACAAGAGGGTGTTCAGTGTAAAAAAAACTTCCTAAATGAGACTGTGGTGAATATGTCTTTCTTTGAATAAGAAAATCCCAAAATAAACAACAACAACAAAAAAACCCAATGAAAACAACCAAACAATAAAATAAAACACAGGACATTTAGAAGACAGCGTGGCTATAAATCAGCACTAAACATAGATACAGAAAACTGACTTGTAAGCATTTAATCAGTAAATGGAACCAAAGTAAGCAATACAATACATTATAATTAATGCATTGGAATTAATATTGCCAAACTTAAACCATCCAGGTAAGTATCAGACATAAGTTTTCTAGGCTTCTTCTGTACCCTACAGAGACAAGTAATTCCAAAGGGCTATTCAAACAGTCCTAAAATAAGGAGGGGCAGTTGTAGTTTGACAGTAGAGTAAATCCAAGCATTTAAGACATGTCCTGTTATCTAAGAAATTGCTGCCACATGATATAAAATACCGTTAGAGCATCTGTTTAGAAAAAAAAACCCAAATGCTCAAAACACTTCTACAGGTTAGTTCTGCACTGCCTGTCTTATATTGTTCCAAAAATGCTCTATATTGTGTGCTGTTTAATTAGTTGGAAATGTGAGTGCACAATTAGGCCTGAACCAAATGCAGTCTGTAATGCTGAGTGGCTCAGTAGTGCAGCGATTAACAGTGAAATAATGGCCTATGAGAGATGAATACAGATTCTTCTTTTCTGCATAAATGATAAATGGCATCTGAACTGTTAAATCTAGCAGAGAGGAAACTTCCCTGTAATACCAGATTCAAAGGCCCTTGAAATCTATGGAAATAATCCAATCAACTTCAGTAGGATCTGATCTGATATTACACACTTCATGCATACTAAAGGCATTAAAAAGATTATTTTAAGCACACACAATTATTATCGCACAATGTTTTGCACTTTAATGTTCCCACTCAATTTTTTTCAGTTCTCTGTCTTTTCTTCTCTCAGCTACTACTTTCAGCTTGGTGATGAAGCAATGTCAGCTGAAGAAATGTTTCATTACGCTTAATACTTTTGTCTGACCCTGATATACACAGCTCGTGCTTCTGGCAAATACACACTTCTTTCCTTCTCTTCCTCCTTTACTTTTCTTGGAGGTTTAATTTACTATTTTGTGCAAAATTTCCTGACCAAATGAAGGTACTGCTGATTTCATTGGCATTTTTCCAATACATAGTGGGCTATTTGTGCTCTGTCTCTGATAGTTCAGGGAAAATATACTGTAAGAGGTACTTCCTGTTTGCATATTGCTTGTGGCCTGTTGTCAACCTTTTACTCTTCTCCTAATTTAAGGGAAGAATGCTGGCACCTGTTCTCCAACTACATTATTCAATCTGTGCATCCCACTTACACATCTTCCAAAATCCTCATATTGCAACCCTACTGTTGAATCCCCAGACATTCTTATTTTTCTTTTACACGTATATACAAAGTTTTTGCAATATTCTGCCTTATTACACATCTTTTTGTACTTTGTTTTTTAGGCTTTGTGGGCGCTGCTTTCTACTGTGTTCCTTTACTGTCATCTCAAAGGAGACAACAGAAACTTAGAAATTTTTAGGTTTATATTAAAAGATTCCACAGTCATGGTTTGCAGATGTCTTACAAGAAAATGATACAGCACACCTCAAAGACAAAAGATCTGCTCTGCCTAGCGATGAGATCTGAAGTCACAAGCAGTGGCATTTATTTCTTTGTTTACATTAGATGCATAAAACAAACTGTACTTGCAGTAGTCCTAGGTATTTGATGGTAGTGGAAAGTACAGAGGCATGAGCAGGCTGAGGTCCCTTATTTTATGCCAAATCCATAATTTTCACTTCTCCCTCAGAGTAATGCACAATTGTACTAAATTAAATACTTCATCCTTGTCAACTCTAAAAATTCTGCACTATTCCTTAGAAGTTCAGCATAAAAGGAATAGTTTCCTCATATTAATGACTTATGGAAAGAGATTATAAATGTTAAAATCATGGAATACTTAGGAAATACTCTTTCAGATGACAATACCCCCTTTTTTTTTTTTTTTTTTTTTCCTCCTCAAAAGGGCAAGTAAACAAAAAGAAACAGATTAATTGGGCAATGGGCATGAAAATCTCATCTTGACTCCTTTCTTCCTATTTCCTAAATTTTACAAAACTATTAAAAACTTCAATGCCTGGTAAAGGACTGTGTTGAGCAGCCCTAGATAGAGACAATTCTAATAGCACCAGTTTTCATACATAATACTAATTAAAATATAAATTTCTGTCTAATATTTATATAAAATTTTACCTTCTCAAGGCTTTATCTCCCACCTTTTAATTTGGTGAAGGATGCTATCTCAACTGTAATTTATGTTACCAGACACAAATTAATTTTCTGTATTAATTGGATGATTTGTAAAAGATTCAAATTCAAATTATACAACATTAGCAATAGTGAATATTTTCACTCATTAAATAAATGACAGATGCAGAATTATGTATGAACAATTGATAAAATAAGATAAAAAACTGTAAGGAACTGATAAGAAGGTTAATCCACTTTTTAGAAACAGATTTTTAGTTTAAAGCTTAAGAAAATAATATTAAAAAAACACCAAAACATTCAAGGTCTTAAAAAAGTTTGAATATAAGATATCTTTTGTCATTGAATAACATTCCTCTTGAGGTAAAAGGGCCAATAAACTAGTTAAATACTCATGCCCAATTTCATGAAATGGCAAGAGGAAAGTAAAAGCAGATACCTCCCCTGTGTGAGCTTTCTGTTTGTTAATTACACTGTAGCTAAAGAATGCAGTCACCATCTGTTTCACTCAGGCAACTTTATATATTCAAAGAAAGTATATGAAAGCTTGAAAAAAAGTGCATAGAATTATCTTTCTCTTTCCTCCGTATCTTCACATATATTTCTTTCTTGGATAGTAAACTAATATGTCCATACAGCAACAATGTAATTCAGGTTGTGTAGCTATTTATACATTATTTTTAAAATCTTAACTTGGGGCAAGGAAGGCGGGGGGAGGAATCTCTGTAATTCTAATAAGGAATATATACCCAAACTGTGCAACATCAAGTATTTGTGAAGGATCACTGTGATTTTTTTACACTGAAGAGTAAAAGAAATGCTGAGGCAGTAACACTTCGTAACACTTCATGGATCCTTTAAACTGTCATCATTAGAGCTCAACAGACTGTGAGAGCATGGAGAATTAAATAGAATAACTCTCCTTTCAGCTGACACTCTAAAATCTCTTTTCAGGTAAAGCGCTGGAAGTACATGAGTAGATGCTTTATGGCTTTACTCCCATGTCCCATTCATTTTTCCTTACAATTCCATTCTTAGTCTGCATCAATCTCTTTTTCCACTCACCCTATATAACTCTCTGAATAAGTTCAGTGCATAATGCTATCCCCACTCCCTTTCTGGCCTCAACATTAAACAAAGGAGCATGTCTGAGGCTGGAAAGCAGGTACGTGAGACTCTCCCAGACAGGCTCTGGAAGGGGGTAAGGTGGTAAAAAGGCAAAAATACATTGGAGCCAAGGAATTAAGAACTCTGTTCATGCCTTCAAAAACCAGCAGATGGAGCAGAGGCCCTCTTTCACTGCAAATTATATATCTTTTACTTTTTTCTCTCATTTACATATTCCATTCTTCCTTCAACCTACTGTGTGCACACACTTGTATTTGACATACACGTAGAACCAATGAGGGTAGGGGAAAACAAGGGCTAATATAACTACCAAGCACAGGAAGTACAACAAGGTAAATAATGTTAACATTAAGAGTCTCTGTGTCAACCTTTGTTAGAAACTTTGCTACTGCTAAACAAAATGATGCTATTAGAACAGATAATGCTAATCTTGAAAAAAAATAATAAAAAAAAAAAATTCACTGACCAGAAGTTCAAAATGGACTTTACTCAATGATTTCTTCTGTTTCAGCGCTAAAAATGACTAAAGGGATTTAATAACAGTTAAGTAACCTTTAGATTTTTCATCAGTCTGCTGGTAATAAGATGAAATAGTGCTAGAAGGCAAAAGGAAGAAGGAGACTGCTGTTCCTGCAGTGCTATTTCCCATTTCACCCTCTACAGGTGCAAAAAAAAAAAACTGCACAGATGTCTCTGAAAGCAAAAACTCTTACTGAGTAGAAAAAGATGTGTTTTTTAACATGCCTACATCACCTCCTTTGTGAAAGACACTCGATATAATTATGAGCATTTTGGTATTGCCCCAGTTTACTTTGAAATAAAGCCAAACTTGCAAAGGACTTTTTTTTTTTTTTTTTTTTTTTAGATAATAATATAGCTTTACAACAAAACTGTAAGTCTGGGCCAATTCTTTTGCAAACAAAGTCAGAAATGTTGTCACTGGTTTCAATTGTTCCCAGCACTACAATTATTTGTGGAACTCTCTTATAATAAATAAATAAATAAATAATCAACTTACTTGAAAACTGTATGGCGAATCCAGATTTGCTGATATAAAAATCTGTGTCAAACTGGATAGTTACTATGTTGAGCGTACTGTGAATGCCTTCAGGAACAAGGGATCCACTAATTTCTTTGAGTAACATCTCATTCTCAGGTGGACCATCCCAAACTCGTAGAATGTCATGGGATGCCTCAGTATCAAAAGCAAGAAACTGGAGGCTGAAAGAATACCAATATTTTATTGTCAGCTGTCATATTACTCAACAACATCTCCTTAGCAACAAAACTAAACCAAAAAAGCAAATAAACTTTGATTTCCAAGGATGATTTTACATTAACATTTCACACCTTTACCTTTGGATGCATAAAAGCCCCATACAGAAATGTATTAAAAAACAAAAAAAAAAAAAAAAACCAACCAACCAACCAACCCAAACCTAATAACATCTGAATTTGTCTGCCATGAAATGATACATTATTTTAGCCATTCAAATAATCTATAAGTATCCACATAACCTCTTCAGAAAATATTTTTATTTTTCTTAAGATAATATTATGTATTATATATTTTCATTAAAAAAAAAGAACTGTAAATTCATGCAATTAGCCATATAATGTTAATAAATGTCTAACTACAAAGAACTACTGAAATGCAGTAATGTAGACTATTCCTCTACAGTTCTGCTGGCTCCAGCACTTTTTACATATTCAGTCTTACAACTTTGGCATTAAAAGGGCATTCGTATTAAATATTTTTTAATCAGATTTCCAGTTAACAGTTCCAGTTTGAATAGGTATTTGCATATATACATACATGAATTGGTTTAAAATTCATTAGCATTTCATAAAATTATAACCAAATTTAAACTTGATCTTCATCAGACAATGTTTATTGAAAAACAGGCAATTTCAACAAAAACCTGCATATTCAAACTCCGAATGTCAAAAATAATGGCCTTGAGCTGCATGTTACATTTTAAATCCTTAATTCCCCTTTTTCTCCACTGTACAGGTAAGATTTGGTCATTATGTGATTCTATATAGTTGTAAGATTTGTTGTCAGTACCTGACAATATTTCCTGGGTCTACTTCAATCACCCACATGCAACGCAGATTGTTGTCATAAGGAAAAGGATAGCCAGGAGACAAGATTCTTCCTGATGATTCTCCTTTAAAACGGCCTCCACATTCAGCTAATAAAAAACATTATGTAATGTGTTACTTCTAATTCATTACAGATGATCTTCCAGCTAATCATCTGAGCAATCAATTTATACATTTACTCTCTTGCTGAATAAGTAACACAATTAAACCAACTGTATGCCCTAAAATTGTAAGATAACATATAAGGACTTGAAGTGCCTAAGGAAAGGAACCTGTAAATATGGGTTTATTTGAATATTTTTGTATTTTCCTTTGGCACCTATGTTTTCCTAGTAATTTTGAACACAACATAACAATTTGAAAACATATTATTACATAATGAAAGGAATATGTATTGTTATTTAAAATAAAAAACCACAAAAAAACAAATCAAGAACACCATATCATCCTGAAGCAGTAGAATTAAAATAAGAAAACTAAATAAATTAGTAAGTAAAAATAAAATATATATATATATATTTATAAAAGAGGGAAAACATACTGAATAAAAGTAGGCTATTCAGAGAGAAAATCAGCCTTCCAGCCTAGAAAAAAAAAGTTTTAAAACTTCTTACTCAAAACTTGTCCTCACAGTGAAGCTATAGTATTTCTTAGAGGATAACAGATTCTGAGTAGCTCCTTCTTAGATGGTTCCAGCCAGTCATTAGGCAAAACTGAGTATTTCATAATCTTAATACCTAATCTTTGAGAAAACCTGATTTTTTTAATGTAGATTCCTGAGAACTTTAAAGCCTTTCTATTTCACTTTCCTTATTTTTAAAGTCCCTCTATTACTTTCTCTCTTGTGAAGTGCAAAGCCAAACTAATGCTTTGATTAGACATCTTGGTATAGTTAAAATTAAGTTTTATTTTGATTTAACATCACCTAAAATACTTTTAGTTGAGAGACTTATTACCTTATGATGTGCGAGTTCCATGATAAAATATAATTGAAATGCTACTCTTGATAGATTTTCTGACATAATAAAAGCAAATTTTCAGAGACAGGTGGCCTTTCATATCTGTTTTAAGCACTCTGTCAATCTATTAATTCCTAAATACTCTTTAAAAAAAAAAAAAAAGCTTTTATAAATATTCAACTCAAAGGATAGTATAGTCTATTATTCTTACAGTAAAAACATAGAGTACACTATAAAGAAAAACTGTCAAATTTAATGACATTTAAAATTAATTACATTTCACCCAGGACCACTGAACAACTAGTTTGTAATTACTGATTTTCACAGAGGTGAAAATTTTTTATTATGATTATATTGATTTTTTTATTATGATTTTTGAATTCTCCCTCTCTCCTCAGTGGTTTTTTCTGCCTCTGCAGCAAGGTTCCAGGTCCCCAGTTTTGCTAGTTGCTGAATCAGCTGTGCAAATGGCAACTTCTCAGAAAGCAGCATCCTCTCAGTTTTGTCTTACATCTCCAGATTCCTTACTGAGAATCCTAATCAAGAATCTTATTTTTTCTTCCATGTGTCAATGATATAGATTCTTCTAAGGAAGTCAAGTTAAGGGAAATATGTTTTATACTACATTTCTTCCTGCAAATTCCATGGATAGTATGTTGTATTGTAACATTTACTACATGATTAAGATTTATGATTACTACAACTGCTTGAAAATAGTTTTGCTAATGTCTTATTAATGTCACAATCTTCCATAAAATGATACTAAAACAAGAACAGTAGCATTTTTAAGACAATTTCTGATAGTAGCAGCAAATTAAAGTGTCTGTTGACTTATGGTGCTCATAAATGTCCAGGAAATAATTTTATTTGTACATGCCAACCTAAATTATTTCATCAATTTTCACAGATTCTCAAGGTTAGCCTGAACAATCTGTAGACCCTAAAAGATACTGTGATGTGCTGAGACCAAGTTCTTGTAAGCACAAAACTTCAGTGCATACAGCTACGTGACTCATAAACAAGTACTCTGGAAATAAAGGGCACCAGTGTTGCAAAAACAATCTTTTTTTTTTTTTTTTCTTCAATTTCCTTTCATAGCAAGGAAACTTAGTTTCAGTTTGATTCTAACTAAAAGCAAATGCTGAAAGAAGGATTTCTATAAACCAGAAATGTTAGAACAGTTTTACTGCTGATTCATCTTCACCTCCTGCTATTTACTCCATTACTGAATTTAAAGTTTCAAAAACTGTTTTGATCATGGATGAGTAAGAGATGTTCAGACTCAGTCTTTTGTTTCAACACATTAAAGAGATATCTGAGAGATCTCAGTCTTGTACAAAACCCGTTGTGATTAATTTTTGTTGTTTTCTTTGAGGAACGTTTCTAATCTGAGCATGCTTTTTCTTACTGATCTTCTTGTGCATTTCTTAAGTGCCCTTCTGCTTACCAGTTCTCTTCTAGCCATTTTCCTCATGTTGTATCATTACTAAGACATCATTAATCCTTTACTATATATTTTTCAGCCTAACAAGACATCCCTTTAAGAGTATTTTAAAGCATATGTAGTGATCCTTATTTAACATGAAAAACCAGAAGGTGTGTGGAATTCAAGATCATTATTTACAATTTGCATTCAAAAACTTCTTTATTTCTTAAGCTTGTCTATACAAAAAACTCACTTGTTTTAACCAAAATTATTTTAAAATCTACTTAGACAAACCAATGTAGTCCCCAGGTTGAGATGGATACTACGGTTGATACAGACAACACCTTTACAGCTCTTTAACCCTTCTCTGCATGCAAGTAACAAGTTTTACTACTTGGCCATGGAGAAATACCTAATTGATATACACATAATCAATATCATTTAAATGACAGCACCTATGTCCTCTTGTTTGCTTAATGAAAAGCATATTGTTTTCTGTGAAACTTAAATCTGGAACACAAAATGAATTTCACCCTTTACTTCCCCTACTCACTCAAACTAGATTTCCTCTAAAAGGAGATTAAAAAGGAATAAAATTACTATAATATTTAACTCTTGTCTTCTTTTTTCTCTCCTATGAAGAAATTGAGCCTGTAGGTACCTGCACAACTTATAAAGTTATTGTAATATTGTAATGAAGGGTATAATATTGTGTTATTCATCATAGCAACATAAGAGAAACCAAGTGACAAAAATACAATATAACTATATATCTCTTTAATATCTTTAAGTTTTTCTTTTAATTTATTTTATAGTATTTATATGTAGATATATGAAAAGTTTTGTAGCGTAACGATATTTAGTTACAATTAGGAAAAAAAAATATTAGTTTTACAACCCCTCATAAAATATATAAGGTCCTGGCTTTCTGTTTAAACTGTCTTTTTATATTTATGATTAGCTGACTATAACAAGATTCTTACATTTTAGGAATTTCAGTATGTACGAATAATTAATAATTACTATCTTTTTTAAACCTAAAAAAGGCAACACCACTCACATAGACTTAAATGAGATCTATGCAAAGAGATCTGTAAATGTGTGTGTGTGTATATAGAGCTGTATGCATGCAGATCAGATTTCACACAGATCTAACACTCCTTATTAATTTTTCTCTGTCTTATATTCAGATAAAAGTTTAAGTAAATAAATAAATAATTTTTAAAAAGAGTTTAATACCAATACATGATGGCAGAGGATAGTCCCATGCTCTTCTTTCCCCAGTCATACACTTTAGAAGGCTACTTCCATGGAGTGTGTAACCTGGATTGCATCCATAAACTATAGTGCTTCCAGCAAAATGGCCTTGGTCACTGATTTTATATCCAAACTGGGGCACACCAGGGTCTTCACAATGTGAAAGCTCAAAACCTTTGGTAGGAATAAACATTGCATTTAAAAAAATCAAACAGATAAACACATTAATTTCTGTTTTCCAGTGGAAATAAAATATTTTCAGACTTCACTTAACAACATATTTAAAATTTCTTATCTGTTTTTAAGCAGTCTAAGTAGGATAACTGTCTATACCTTTCACTAGGACCATGGAAACCAAACCATGGCATAACATCATTTTTCCTAAGAGTCGAATTAAAGACAGAGAAGGAAATTCATTATAACTATCAATCAGTTCTAAACTGATATGATAAATTATAACATGGCAGTTAAAGTGACTGTCCATTTACTTTGATGACAATCTAATTTGTGAATAGATATTTAAAGGCTCATAAACAAAATTGCACAGCAGATATGTTTGTTGTTACTGTGCACAGTAACACCAATAGCACAATAACACCTCTGGCACCAAAGAAATACAGTTATAGTCAGCAATCCCTACCCTCATCCTGCATTCAGTAGTTTGGAAATTTAAAAACTACATGCAGGAAGCAATGATAATGATGATATAGAGAATTCAAGTCAAACAATTTGGGCATTTTGGAGAATTAAGAGATGTAGAGCAAGAAGGAAACAAAATGAATTATGCATTGTAAAGGAACAGGAAAGCACATTAACATTTGGGGAAACATAAACTGTAATGTGGAAGAAAGATTTTCTGTTCCAAATAAGGTTTTCTTTTACTAACTAAGCAGCTTGAAACCTCACTTTGTTTACAACCAAATGAATATAAGCAATATCATGCAGCTCAAACTGCGTTTGGTAAGAAAGGCACTTTGTGTCAGATTGATATTTCTATCTGTAGGTGATGTGAGAGCAAATGAAGGGGTTTTCATGTCTGCATTGTTCAGTGAAGACATTTACACAGTATTTGTCCATCTGGTCAACAGTTGGTAGTCTTTCACAATCTCCAATCTCTCCTCAGGTACTGAATCATTACTACCGATTGACTGAAAAAAGGTCATTATTTTATTTTACAGACAAAATGCTTCAGATTGGATAAGGCTGTTTGCTAACATAAGGGCGGGGGGTGGGATGGAAAAAGAAAAAAAAAAAAAAAAAGGTCCAATGCTGTATCTTCCTAATTCTTCATCTTATTTGACGTCACTGAAAATGGCTCACCTCCTGAAGAGCCTCCACAACCTCTGAGCTGAACTTTTCTCATTCCTAGCTAAGCTATTGTTTCCCAGTACAGACTGCACTGCAGAAGCTCTAAAAGAGACTAATGTGAATCCCAGATGAAGAACCTTTTCTGATATTGCCAGTGTGGTACTTATTGGCCAGTCATAATTTCCTGTCTTCTTCTAAGAAAATTGTTGACCACATTGTATGAAAAGAAGTCAAAATGTGCCTTGATCCCTGAGATGTCCTCATCGCTGGATGGCCTGCTTATAGACACAGAACAAAAGTAGTCTTCTTAACTGACCACTTCCCTTTTGAGAGTGAACTTGTAACTCCATTGCCTAAGCATAGACGCTAGCAGTGTTTTTGCTGCCGTAAGTTTATTTCAGCTATCCACACAGTGCTGGGAATCCTGGCAACAGGACCAAAGGGAAAACTGTATCCTTCTGGAGAAGCACCTGGCAGCTAGGGGCATAGTGAAGGGGATCTAGAAGGGCAATAGGTGGCTATTTGAGACTATGTAGACTATTTAGAAAGAGCACAAATGCTCACAATGTGGCCCTGAAGACACAGACTGTTTTCATTACAGCTTGTGGGGATTTTGTTTTCTGCTTAAAAGTAACAGGTTAAGCCCGTGATACTTTTGGAAGTTTTCATTGTCTCTATCTATGCAAAACAAATATTAGCTCTTTACCAAAATGGGAAATGGCCAATGGGTGATGATCAGTGGCACAAAGTCTAGTTGGAGGCCTGCAACTAGCAGTGTGCCCTAGGGGTCAATACTGGGTCCAATCTTTTTCAACATCTTCCTTAATGATCTGGTTGATGGGGCAGAGTGTACCATTACCAAGTTTCCTGATAACATCAAACTCAAACTGGGAGGAGTAGCTAGTATGCCAGTAGGTTATGCTGCCATCCAGAGCAACCTTGACAGGCTGAAGAAATCGGCCAACATGAACCTCGGGAAGTTCAGCAATGAGACGTGCAGAGTCTTATAGCTGGAGAGGAACAATTCCACCACTAGAATATGCTGGGGGCCACCCAGCTGGAAAGCAGCTTTGCAGAAAAGAACTTGGGGCTCCTGGTGGACACAAAGATGAACATGAGCCAGCAAGTGCCCTTGCAGCAAAGGCAGCTAATGGTATCCTGGGCTGCATCAGGAGGCATGTTGCCAGCAGGTCAACAGAAGTGATCCTTCCCCTCTACCCTTAGCATTGTTGAGGCCACATCTGAAGTACAGTGTCCAGCTTGGGGCTCCCCAGTACAAGACAGATGTAGAATTAATGAAGAGAGTCCAGCAAAGGCCCACTAAGATGATTAAGGAATGGGAACATATTTCCTGTGGCTAAGGGCTGAGAGAGCTGAGACTGTTCAGCCTGGAGAAGAGAAGGCTCAGAGAGGATCTTATCCATGTGTATAAATCTGAGGGAAGACTGTAAAGAAGGTGGAGTATACTGAGTTATATATACTGAGCTGGGATGGAGTTAATTATCTTCATAGCAGCCCATACAGTGCTGTGTTTCAGACTGACTAAACCAGTGTCAATAACACACAAATGTTTCTGCTGTTGCTGAGCAGTACTTGCACAGCATCAAGTCCTTCTGTTTCCCACTCTGCCCTTGCAGCAAGTAGGCCAGAGGTGGGCAGGAGGCTGGAAGGGGACATAACTGGGACAGCTGAACCTAACTGACCAAAGAGATATTCCATGCCATATGATGTCATGCTGTGCAATAAAAGTGGGGGATAGTCTTTCCAAAGATGCCATGCTCAGAGACTGGCTGGGCGTTGGTCTGCTTGTGGGAGGTGACGAGTGACTGCCTTTGCATCACTTATTTTTTCTTTTTCTCTTTCCTCTCTATCTTTATTTTGACCCATGAGTTCTTGCTTTTTCTCTTCCAGTTCTACAAATACCTACAAAAGAAGGTTCAGCATTGTTCAGGCTAATAACTATACAGGTTAGGAAAGTGTATTCTACAAGAATGCTTGTCTCAAAAGACAGGAAATGTTAAAGATAAGGTTCAAGTGTTCAGCTTGGACATACCTATATAAATAAGAAAAAATAAATACCTTGACACTTACATAGTAACAGCACTGGAAGGCCTATCTTTTATCATAGAGTACAGCCCTATGTTAACACAGGCTATTATGTAGTATAATTTGCAACTTTACCTCAAAAATAATTAAATACTCTTGTAGATTCCTGATATATTTTCCTTTCATTCTGCTATACTGACATTATTTTCATTAGAATTAGTTTTAAGTACGTGATGGAGAGTTTTTGAAAAATAAGAACATTTTTTGAACAGGTGAAAATGAATTATTTAAGCACAGGGAGAAAAAAAAGGATGTTGACAGCTGTATTGCAGAATTACCTTATAATACTGTTCTGCTTGCTAAAAATTCAGTTTTATATAATAATGAAGCAATGATGAATAATTATACAGTATAGAACTCATAAACACCACATGTAAACAGATATATGTAACAATCATACATATTTTGAGAAGTTGACACTTGATAAAATAGATGTGCATTGCTGTTTCCTGTATAACCTCTAAGCCAGAGATCTGAAAAGATTTCTCCTCTTCTAATCTTTATAGTTCAGTTTTGTCAGTCTACATACAGGTAAGAAGTTTTTGTTAGGAATCTTTCTTTATCATTTTGGTTCTGAATTGTATTATTCTAAACAAAAATCCAAACTCAGAAATTGCTAGTCTTAATGCAAAGTTAGTATGGTTACACATTTAAAACTAGTTGGATATTTTTATGTCCTAACACAATTAACTGCAAATTATTCTATTTTTTCTTATCCTTTCCATGACTGAAATAAAAATAAAAATAACCCTCTAGAAAAAAGATAGTGGTTTAAGTATCAAACTATGCAAAGTACTGTCAAAGCAAGGTTTCAGTATGCTATATGTTTTGGGTTTTTTTGAGGTATAATTATGAATTTATATTATTTTGATGAGCGATAAGTGATTTGCTGTTGATTTTATCATTATTTGTCCTTTGACTGCATTTTCATCTTTTGAGCAAAGAATTTTAATTCCTTTAAAATCATAAATATATTACTACTGTTTTCTCAAATACTTACTGGTATACACAAGCTGAAAACCTTCATCAGTGCCCTCCATATCTGAATTAAATTCTAACCACAAATGATTTGAAGTACTACTTAGTGTCAAGCCTCTTAATGATGCCCCAGTATATGCACCCAGCAGGTGAGCAGTGTTGTCTCTTCCATCATAGATCTGTAAAACAAATGTGAGTTCTACAGTTATTTAGAAAAAGAAAAAAAAAAGGAAAAAAAAAAGAAATATATTTTATTTACAAAAGCATTCTGTACATCTCCATTAAGAGGGAGAACAGTTCTGCCAAGGGACATCTATTGCCAGTCAACCCAAATTACTATTTGCATATGCTGTTTGCCTCTCCTAAGTTGACTTAATTGTGGTGCTTTTTTAAATGCACAATTTAAAATATGTCAGTATCCTTTTTCCATAAAATAGAAGTGGGCAGAGGTGTCATATCAGCTCAGTGTTTTTAAACCTCTGTGTTTTCTCTTCCACTGTCAGTGTTGTAATGCTGGTTACAAACTATCAGCAAACACCTACTTTGTGTAGCTGTTTCTGCCTCAAGTCACTGAGCTGGCATAATAGAAAAGCTCAGACCTCCAAAACTTTGGCTTGTTAAATAAACCTCTGATTTTTTTTTGATTTTTTTTTTTCCTACTTAAAGAGAGGTTCAAATATAACTAAAAAGTAAAAGGAGACTAGGAAATAAAATAAATAAAACAAATGTTTCTGTAAGTTGAAAGAGTAATGTAATCTATATGTAAATTGGAATACAGGAGTTTTATTTATTTTTCTTTAAGTGTTGTTCTTTTCCATATTTGAAACAGAAACTTCTATCAGACTACTAAATATATAAACCAATCTTGTAACAATTCTCAGCAAATTTCCTTACAAGCTTGTCTGCTTTGAAACATCACAAGTTGTTGTATTCCAACCATTCCCAAACACAGTTAAACTGTAACTTAACAATAACTGCTAACCCGTTCGCTATGTCCTATAGGATTTATTTAGTGACTTCTATAATAATAAAAACTTTGATAAATTACTTTAAAGAAAAAATTTCACTTGCAAATCAGTAAATTGACCTATGAATAATTTTAAAATTGCATTACAGGGAAATTGTAAAGCTTTAGTAAAAAAATAGGGAATTGTGTCCAGTTCTAAATGAGATCTAATTGTATTAATATGTAATGTAACTAAACCTTGCCTTTGTAAATAGGAATCTATATCACAACAAAATCAAAACAAACACACCAGCAATAGTAGTAAAGTAAAAAAGTTAATTTGAAATATTATGATGCTTGTTCCTCATTCCCTATGAGAATGACTTAAACATGTAAACTGGATTTTGCAGAAATCCTCATGTCTTTAGTAATAACAGAGACTCTACATTTAACGATATGCTGAAATAAAACAAATAAGCCATTTCTAGCCATCTGTAATGACTAAATAATTGTACAGGACTTTTAGAAGCACAGAAAAATGACTGGGCATCATTCCTTGTTTTTTACTGAAACAAACAAATTCCAAGCAAACTTAACATTTAAAAGCCAATGTCCTTAAACAGACTACAAATAAGAAATTAAAGAAAAAAATAATGCAATTGCTGCTTTCCAACTAAAAATATTTTTTAAATATCTAGAACAGTATTAAAATAGATTGCTTAATTTTATTTAAAGCTTCTTTACAACTATACTGAGACAAGTAATCAAGCCAGGCAAAATAAATAATCAGATAAACACAAAAAAAATAGTTTGAGTTTTGTTTTAGTAACTAAAAAAACCCATCCATTCCAGGAAAATGACTGTTATCCTACAGAGATATTTACATCATGACAAACTTAAAGAAAACTCAGCTTGAATTTGATGCTCTTTCTCCTAATCTCTCCAAGCTACTTATAACTAATAATAGCCAGGGATTCAGGATAAATTTTATATTTTAACAGTACATAAGATTAACCTATTATCTACTATGTATGTATCACTAATAATTAACCAAAGGAAGTTATTAATATGTTATACCAACTATTCTCAACATCTTGCCAAAACTTCTCATAAGCCACTTCATGATACAAATTTTCTTCATGTTAGAATTTCCCCACACATACTTTATTGCCAATTTTGTTAACTGTTGTATCATATTAAACCTCTTACATTGGCACACTGACATCCCTCCAGAGCTGACACTAATTCTACTTTATGGTCTAGCTAGCTGTCCCACTGCATAATACTTCTAAACCAATATAATTTCTATGAAGGAATAAAACTTAAAGTACACTAACACTTTTGAAACTATATGATTCTTTAAGCAGAAGAACTATATTTGGATGAGAAAAGAATGTGATCCATTTGAACATTAAATTTTTTTTTTTTTTCCCCTTTGATTGCTGACTTTCAAATATTCAAAGTAACATATGCCCCTCTTCTTGAGACAGTGAGGTCTCCCTTAGGAAAATAGGGATGTATATTTTGTAGTATTATTCTCAGTTTAAGTCCGATTGTCTTTTCCATGCTTCATTCAAGTTAATGGACACTAAATATAAATGTCTAGATGCAATTTAAATGATACAGTTTAAGTTGCAAAGAAAGTGGTAACAATGTATATTAACTTCTGAGATTTGCTGAACCAGCATTTTCTTTCTAACTTTCCTAAAATAGGTGGGAGCTTTGCTAAAGATTTTGAATGATCTAGTAATTCAGCTTCAGATTTTGATCCAGAAGATGAGATTATATGTGAATTAAAATAGCAACATTATTTTATTTCTCATATAGGAATATTCTTTCATGTAGGCCCTGCCAGCTGTCATGGTTTTGCCAGGACAGGGTTAATTTTCTTCTTAGTAGCTAGAAAGCACTGTGTTTTGGTTTCAATATGGATTTATTATAAGAAGAATGTTTATAACATACAAGGCCATTGTGTTTGACTAGTTTGCAAGTGCAAAAGACTGGGAAGAGGGAAGTGCAGTAGTTAGCAAAATCCCAAACTGGTATTTGGATATGCCAATGAGATATACCATATCATATTACATCACATCCAGTATATTAATGAGGGTTGATCAGAAAGTGGGAAGATTCTCTCGGGAATTGCTTGGGCTCACTTTTCTGGGATTGTGGTTTCAGGTTCGGGGCTCCTTTTTGCTCCTCCAGGATCGCTACTGGTAGGTGGTGAGGAACTGTACTCTGCATCACTCATTTATATATATTATTATCATTACTATTTTAAGTTTATTTTACTTCAATTATTAAATTGCTCTTATTTCAACCTATGAGTCTGCTCACCTTTATCCCTCCAATTTTCTTCCCTATTCCTTGGGGGGAGGGCACAAGCATCTCTGTGATGTTTCACTGAGAGTCAAGTTAAACTACTAAAGCAGTACACCTGGATTTATGCCACTTGGGTGCTAAATGTATGGCCACGAATAATACCTATGAAAATATTATTTGGTTGCATGCATTTTCCTTAAAGTCTTCCTGCAGCATTAATGCAAAGATAATTGATTAATGACTCTATAATGACTGGATATGCCAGTGATGAGCTATTCAGAAAAAAAAAGGTTCATCCTTATTAGCTATTTAAAGGCCTGTTAAATGATTAATTCATAAAGAGGAGCAAAGGCATAGAAAATTGCATTAATGTTTTTCATATCACAATGATATTTTGAAATGTTATAGGGAAGGATACTAATAGTGAATACTGCTTATATAAATATGATTTGAACTGATAGATGTAATGTTTAATTTGAGGAGGAGGGGTTATCTTTGCATTTACAGTTAGAGAATAAATAAAACTTCCTAAGCTTCTGAGGGGCTCCATTATCAACAAATTCTAAAAGGAAATTAATGGGTTTTTTTCTGCTAACTTACTTAACTTCATAAAATTTTAGCAAGGAAATGGTATAAACTGGATGTATGAAATTTGTGCATTTTAATCAAACTATTTTTTAGATTTGACACTGAAACATAAAAGGCATATGGATATGATGATCTGTGCCTTTATAAAGAGAAGAAATAACATAAAATCATCAGCTCAGAGCTGAGGCTGTCAACACCCTGTCAAATGAATCATTTATATCACATGCAAACAGAAGCACTAATATAAAGAAAGAAAAGGGCCCATATGTTTCAGGGTTTTTTTGTCCCCTACACTTATTACCTATTTCTCACTCATGTTTTCATGATGATATGATATTGCTAAAATGATCATTATAGCAAATGTGGAGATTCTTAAAGGAACAAACTAGCAAAAAGCCCTGAATGTTACCTCCCTCGAAGTCTTTGCACAAAAACTCTCAAAATCTGAATTGGGCACACACTTCAAGGCTGGCCCACAAGTGAGACAGCAAACAAATGCAGTAAAACTGAATCCTCCATATTTTGTAGGAGCACAAAGAGTGCTGAGCAAAGCACAGGAGAAGGGAATCCTTAATGCCCGTTCTGTTTGTTTTACTGACAAGCTGCTACCTGCCCCTTGCTGCACCGAGTGTTTTAGTAGAAGTAAAAAGAAAAATTGCTTCATTACAGCATCAAAAAATAACACTTAAAGTCATTTTTTTCCACACAGATGCAATCTCATCTGGCACATCTGCTCTCATTCTACATACTGTCAAACACATAACCTACTACAAAAGGAAAAACAAACAAACAAACAAAAAAACCCCACAAACACCTGATGTTATCTTTCCATCTCAGCTCTTTTCATACTTGGTGTTCTTTTCTCTTGTTTTAGTTTCACTTATGGAATCTACCTGCAAAATTTTTTGGGGCAGAAGTTTGTTTGCTTTGGGTTTTTTTAACATTAACAGAAAACTCCTCATTAATTATTACTATGCATAGGTACATTTTTATTTTTGTTGAAACCTACTGAAAATAAAGAAAACAAACATATTATCTTTGTTCAGGCTTCAATTTTAATAAAAGATGCTGTTCCTCCAGTAAATTAGAAAAGTATATTAAAAGATCTTTGATACAAAATAATATTTTCTACATTCACCTGATTTCAACAGAAATAAAGTGTTCACCACTAACAATCGACTATTCAGGCAAGTAGAAGAATGGTAACTCTGTTCCCTTCCATGCAAATCTAAAGGGTTTGCTTACAGCTATCAGAGACTACAGAGATTACAAGCAAAAGTGGTGCATGGAGATAAATGCAGGGCAAAGAAGCAGGGAGAAAAGTTCCCATACTTTGGAAATCACATATTCTTTTTCTCTGCCTCCCACATGGGCAATTTACTCTAAAAAATTTGAATCTGGAAACAGTGCACAAACTCAGTTATCAGTACAATTACAAAGAAGGAAACAATTGTTAAACAGTTTCTGAAATTAATATTAAATGGATTGGCTTATAGTGACCATGCATATCTTAAATTCTTCATCAGTCTTAATGAAATTTTCATTAATATTATAACAAGTTGTGGCACTATCAGGAGCAGATTATAGCCCTACATGTGGACATGTTATAGCCCTACAATGTGGACACATATTTCTTAGAGTGTCAGATAAAAAAACAATGCAACAAAACAACCCCTAAAACATTAAACAACCAGAGCAGTTACATCAAAAAGAGAAAGAGAATTGCATACTAAACGAAGCAAATTAAAAACAAATTATATATTCTAAAACCTCCATTCTGTACCAGTTCAGAATTGATAAATGGGCACTCCTCCGTCTCTGCCTGGGGAGCAACAGTAAGGATGGTGATTTATTTGTGTTAAATACGCTGTTTCTCTCTAATGTTGTATTCCCAGTCCAGCTGTTTCATTGCTTCAATCACAGTGCTTGTCAGGTATAAATTTGATTCATGGTCAGTTAATTCATGTGGTAAGCAGCAGACTCCATGACTTAATTAAACAACACATCAAAAGTTTAGTAGAATATTCCGTCTATTCAGACTTTGAATGGAATTTTTCTGTATAGTTCTAGTAATCGAAAATAGCTGATAGAAAAAGTAACATCAAGTACATTATTAACTTTGCCAATATTTTCATCTATCAGTTCTGAAGAACAGACATACATTATCCATTTATTAACGAAAGTCTGTAGCTAAAAACCTGAGCTTTAACTATGAAATATTATGAGATTGCTGCATTTATGTTTGGGGAAAGGAAGCCCTGTCAGGAAGCTGTTGTTTAAGTATCTTGGTTTCCCAATGGTGAATTCCTTACTCTGACTAGTTCATAGTTAAAAGGGAACTGTGTATTCACTATAAATCACTCAGCTGTTTGCTGTAAAACTAGATTTTTTTTTTTTTAACTTAACTTCCTTCCACTACCATTTTTCATTTTAAAATACTTCATTATTCTTGACTTCCCTCGGAGATTTCTTAAAGGCAGTAATGTGTATATGCATTTACAAAGTAGTGATATATATTAGGTAGGTTTACAGCATTTGTTGACTACTATTGATTCACTTAAAACTAAAGTATAACCCTAATGTCCTACCCCTGTAGCCAAAAGTGTATTCTCCACAGTCAGTAAAATGGGGAAATCAGGTAGCATTATCCCTTCTTTCATTGCAGTTACCAGTTCTACAAAAATAAAAGGAAGTTCCTGTAAACTTATATTCAAAGATGTTTTATAGGGATTAACATAAATTGGTCTATCAGAATACAGAAAAAAAAGTGTATAACCAAGATTACTTCCCTAATCTTGAAGATATTAATGATAAATACTAGACATATTCCCAAGCCAGTCACACACAAAATCTTTCAATGCTTCTTTTTCAGCTCCTGGAGATGAAAAGTAGTCAATAATAATAGGGATCAACAGACAACTTCAGAACCGGTTCATGAGAAAAGTTTTGAAATGTGTGACTGGTGCTTTGTATTTCATGAAAAAAGACTCCTTTATCAAACAACACATGAAAAAAAAAGAGTCTGATGGAATTAAGACAATTTGTAAGAGCTTCATCTGAAAGATGAGGCAAGAAGAGACACAATGGGTTCCACAGATATCATTTGTTCCCATGGTATTAAAGGTCGAGTGCCTCTCTCTTGCTATAATGTCAGATAGGTTGAAAAAAGTGATAATCATAATAAACAGTACTTCTTGTAGTGTTTGATTGTTTTGTTTTTGTTTCGTTTTTTAACATATTGGAAGGAACTTCAGGTCATTATTATAATTCAAGGCTGCTGACTTGGAAAATAAACACTAATTACCAGATATTACTTTAATCTAATAGACACACCTGCAAAACACAACAAATATTTCTCCTACTGCTATTTACAGCTGAGTTGTGGTCTCCATCCATTTATAATTAATTACTCCTAAATTCACATTAATTGAGTAGCAATATTAAAGTAGAATTTTATTTCATAAGCCTCTGAGTTAACATTTTCTAGTTAAATATCTGTAGTGAACATGGTTGGAATGGCACTTGAAAAGTCTTAAATGCAAAGATCTTTTCAAAATTGTATGCACATTAAATGACTAAGAAAAAAAAAGAAAAAAAGAAGCACCTTTCAAATAAAGTCTTTATGTATCAGTAAATGTAAAAATTAAAAGGTATCTACCTAGTTCTGAAGTAAGTAGTGAGGCCAAAATAAAACAAAACTATCTGTGCATGCTGAGGATCTAGTAGCTTTTGGTTTATTTTATTTTATTTGTGTTTTGTTTTGAGAATATAATACCTATTTTTATTTAAAACTACTGTATGTATTTATTTTTTCTTCTTACTGCCTGATTTCATCTTACATTGGCTCTTTAGGTCTGCTTATGGCTTAGGTATAATTAATCCCTCTTTGGAATTGCCTATGTCTGACAACTAATGACAGAAAACCTAACCTAATGCTCAGATGACTAAAGTTAGATGAGATAAAACCCAGTCTGAATTGTAGCTGTTTCATAGAAATATATTTTTCCATAATCCTTCTCATTTTAATAACTATATGGCAGAATAAGGCAGAAAAACTTTTTTGTTTTAATCAAATGTGATTGACAAGGGACCTCTTGTTCCTTCGATTTCTGAGAAGCAAGTTTAATTAAATTGTAGTATTCTGAAAAACTAAAAAATTATTTAATCCACTTTATGGATATCTTATTGCATTCAAATGGTATGTGCTAAAAGACACTCACTCTGATCATCACCAGCTTTAAATATGTAGTTGGCTAAGCAATATATGCATCTGGAATTGTATATTTTGGGGAATACAGTAATAAAATCTATGAACAAATCAAAGTAAATGCTACTGAATTTATAAAGTGAAGTTGGTCTATAAAAACTCTGGAAGATTCTAGTATTCTGTCTTCCCCTTTGGTGTTTCTTTGTTTAATGTAATTGCTGTGATTATCAATTTACAAGAGATGTTACATACCACCCATGATTAGTCATTTAAAGCACAGATCTCACGTACAAAATGTAGTATGTAGTGTATTTAATTAAGCTTCTGGGTGTCATGCTTATTATGTTTAGATCACAGCTCAAGTTATGAAGATACGGAGACTTTACAAAAAGATGCAATTGATGAATACTTAACACTAAGAATAGAACACAAATACACATTATGGCAACATCTGGTTTACAGTTTCAAGCTCATTTTTAATTATATCTGGTCACAAAAATATATGTTTTAAGAAATACATTATGAACAACTCAGAATGCTTAATTATTTTTTTTTTAAAATTGAACTAGTTTAGATACATATTTTCTAAGAGATTATTAATATAAACTTACCTGATACTGTACTGTCACACACAGACAAACTTCAACAAGGTAAGGAACTACAAGTTTAGAAATAACAAGTAAGTTACATGATTACATACCTTAAGAACATCTCCTTGGGCTAAGTGAAATGTTCTAGCAGAAATATTGATTCCTTTCCCTGCTTGGACCTGAATGCTATAAATACATTCATGGTTGTTTTCATAGTTAAGAGGATAATTGGGGGACAATAAGATTCCTTCATTATTTGTTGTGGAGGCTCCACATTCAGCTGCAATTGAAAGAAAATATTAAAAGTATATTTTAATAGAAAGCATAAATATTTCTAGTAATTGTGATAATGAGAATGTAAATGCAACCTAGTTCAACATTATTAAAATTTATTTATATCTAAAATCTAGTTTTAAGTACATGTTCATGACAGTGATTGAAGGCTACAAGAATATTTCTAAATTCCAATACTTTAATAAAATCATGTTAAATAATATGGAGATTTATATCATACTAATGACAAATGCCATACGTATAATGTTTTAAAGAATCTTTATTGAATTTTATTTTGGAAGAAATATACTTGTTTTTACACTCCAACCCAGAAATTAATAATGTTGTGTGAGATAAATGAAAGTAAAAGTACTCTATAAGTTTATATATGTACATATTTATATATACATCCACATGTATAAATATACACCCGTGCAGATACACACATTTTCACAAAGATTAATGAAAAAAACTTATTTTTTCTCTAATAAACAGTATAGTAAAGGTTATAAATTACAGCAGAAAAAGAACTGTTATAACTGCCAGCTAAACAACAGAAAAGAATAATTTCATTAATAAACGAGTAGAAAAATTATAACTTCGGGGGTGGGGGGGGGGG